ACAGGTAGTTGCTAGTATTAACGTACTTCTACTGATGTGGACACAGAGATGTGGAGACGTTGAGCAACTTGTCCAGGGTCCAGGCGGTCGGTAGGCTGTTCCTGAGCTGAAAGAGGGTCTCCTCTGAGCTGAAGTCCTGGCTGTGTGGCCGGAGGGTGAAACGTGTATCGCAGGACCCTGCGTGGCTTCTGCTTTTTCCAGCTCAGCCCCTGAGCAAGGGCTTAGCTGTCGGCTGCTCCCTTACGATGTTTCCACCTCCTACTTTGGCCAGAAAAGAGAAGGTCAACACTGTCTGCATTTCCGCGCATTCTGTGTAACGTACTAGAAAACCTAGAAAACTAGGAAAAGGTTTGGAGTCAGGCAAGCTGCACACCTCTGCGGGGTGACCCCGTTCACATGCCGGGTCTCCTGACCCCTCGCAGCTGCTCCCCGCAATTCAGGAGGGGATTTGTCGTTCCCGTTTTGAGATAAGAAAACTGGGCTTCAGAGGTGAATTCGTTGGATTCAGCGTCCCTCCAGGGATTCAAGCCCGGCTCTGGGGCATCGTGAAGCCCACATACTTTTTCTTCTCTCCCAAGTGCCCCCCTCTTGGACAGTCCTGGGTTTTGAAACTGCTGATTTAAGGAGAGTCCGTGGACGAGCTGCTAATGGCTGTGGCCGCTTAGCCCTGACTACAGTTCTAACCACTTAGCTGAGTTCACTTTGTGTGTGCCTGCTGTTTCTTTTAAGACTGTAATCAGCCCCTGGAAGGACTGGGAATAGAAGATGGTTTGGGGGAAAGGCTTCATTCAGCATCTTTGTTGGGCTTTTATTGAATTATCCAAACAGCTTGTTTCCGCTTCGCTACAGCGATATCATGTCCTTTCCAGCCCTGTCTTCATCGCTAGGAACTCGTACCTATGTGGCAGTGAACTTGGCAGCGGGCCGGGCTTCCTTATTTGCCTGGGCAGGTGGGTGGGCGCTCATTTGTATTGTAATTGTAAGACCACTTCCTGGCAGCAAAACCCCAGCCTGCTTCCTGCTCAGGGCCTGTAACAGGGAAGGAGCCAGGGTGGGGTGTTTGCAGAAGGTGGCCTTGCTGCCCTAGTCTCCTAGGAACCATATGGCCGGTAGAACTGGCAGTCTGGCACCCACCAGCTCTCGTGAGCCATCAGGAGCTCGTTTCCATCCTCCAAACCTGAGGCTCGTGGGGACTCGTGAGTTTGGGCTGCCGCTGGCAGGGAGGGGAGGAAGCGCCACAACGGGCAGGTGCCCGCCACCCCCACCCCTTGCCCGCCTCTGCCCTCCGCAGCTCCTGACCGTGGATGTCACACACAGGTTCTGTCCAGGAAACAGCAGAGCCACGGTTGGAAACTGTGGTCTCTAACCTCCTGCAGGCTTTTTGTGCCCACGGATGTCCTGCTGACTTCTCACCAAAGCTGGGAAGAGGCCCACAGCCCTTTTCAGGATTTGACAGAAGCTTATTCACTTCCCCCTTTCGGACTTCTCACGTGGGGAAAGGAGTGCATTTTTTTTTTTCTTCCAAGATTTTATTTAAATTCCAGTTGGTTAACATAGAGTGTGGTATTGGTTTCGGGAGTAGAATTTAGTGATTCATCGCTTCCATATAACACCCGGTGCTCATCGTAACAAGTGCCCTCCTTAATGCCCATCACCCATTTAGCCCATCCCCCCCACCCAACAGCCCTACAGCAACCCTCGGTTTGTTCTCTGTCCTCAAGAGCCTCTTATAGTTTGCATCCCTCTCTGTTCTTATCTTATTTTTCCTTCTCTTATGTTCATCTGTTTTGTTTCCTAAATTCCGCATATGAGTGAAATCATGTGGTATTTATCTTTCTCTGACTAATTTCACTTAGCATAATACACTCTAGCGCCATCCACCTTGTTGCAAATGGCAAGATTTCATTCTTTTTGATCGCCGAGCAGTATTCCATCGTATGTCTATACCACATCTCCTTTCAGTCAAAGGAATTTCTGGCCATGGTAAGCAAGGGGAGGGGTTTTACTTTGACCTGGGACAAGGTGGTATTGGAGGGCTGCTCAGATCCCTTGACATCTAGGGCTGACCCGTAGACATATGAGCTCTCCTCCTTAAAGATGCCCAGAGGAGGAAAGGAGAATCAGACAGCCAGATGCCTGGGCTGTCCCACTTCCCTCCCCTCGTTCCTTTAAAATTAACTCTCGTCCCGGCTGGCGAAGCTCAGACGTGGAACCAGAACCAGTTCCCACAGGACTTCTCACAGCAAGCCTACCATGTCTCCCTTCCACACATGCCCTGCCACCTGCCCTCTGTGGGCAGGCAGCCACGCCCGCTAGCCCAAATCGAACCGACTAGGCACCAGGCTGGAATCAGGAAGTGTGTGCTCCAGGTGTTCTCAGGAAGGACAGGGGAAGTGTGGGTACAGAGGAGCCCTTGAAAACGGGTGACAGGACAGGGAGCCAGCCTTTGCCTTTTTATGTAAGTGTGAAGATGATAGTTAAATGGTACATCTTAAATGCCATGATAACTCTGGAAGACTTTGCAGACCTCTTTAGAAATGTAAGGAGATTTTTTTCATTTTACCACTATGGTATCAGGGGGAACTATTAACTGATGCTAAGTAGGGATCCCGTGGACCGGAAAAGACAAAGCAAAATTTTACTTTGGGTAAGATTCATTCTAATTCTAGCCATTTATGTACGCTCCTTCCTATGTATGAGTAATTGCCATGAACTAGGACCATGATGAGATAGATTGATTTGGGATTGATGAATCTTCTGAATCAAACTGTATCACAACACCTGCTTCTAAACATGTGCTCCAGCTTCTGAAGAAACTTGTTGCCCTGTGCATGGGGAGTCAGTTTTCCCACGCGCTGTAAGAACTGGCAGGAACGTTGGCTTTGAGCCGGTGTGGATAGAACCCTACGCGTTTTGCTTCAGAGGAGAAGCCTGAGACCTAACAAAGGGACCCAGAGCCATGAGCCTAACGGGGATTCTGTGACCTGGGTGCTGATTCAGCTAATGAGAATGGAGAAGAAGGGATGGAATTGGGCGTATTTATGAGATGGCTTGTTAATGTGGACGTGAGGGAAAGGAAAGAGTCATATGACCCTCCAGTTTCAAGCCTGGGTCATTGAATGGGTGGTGTCACCATAAACTGACACAGAAAACACAGGCGAGGTGAAGATGTCAGATTCAGTTTTGGACTCAGCTGGGTGCCTGTGGGATATCTAGTGGAGATGTGGAGATGTCTGTCAAGCAACTGGATGTTCATGTCAGAAGCTTGGGCAGCAGGTGAGGACTGGAGATAAAGGTGTTGGCAATGTGTGTGTGGACATCAGCATCCAGAGGGCTAGGGAGAGTGTGCACGAGAAGAGCAGTGAGCTGAAGTAGGGCGCTGGGGAAACCCGAGGAGAGGTTGCGAGGTGGCTGGGGAGGACCAGGTTCTGCAGGACAGTCTGTTGTCCATAAGGTGTTGTTCTGTAACGAGAGTGATTCAAACAAAGTGAGTGAGGGCATGACCTTCCCAGGAGAGCTAGTTCAATTCATCTGAACTACAAAAATAAATGAGGTTCAGATTGCTTGTTAATTCTAAGACACTTGGGAACAATGATTATGTCCTCATCTAAGATTTATTGAGATGTGTTAGGAAATTGCACTTGGGGCCCTCAGACCTCCCAGTTCTCAGGATTTGAACCTCTTTGAAGCAGCTCTGTGAACTCAGCTGGTCCTCCTGTCCTCAAGCCTTGCAATAGCACTTTCTGGTTCCCCCCTTCCTGCTGCTCCCAAAATAAACTCATCTGTGCCCTCACTTGATTAGCCTGTTTTTATCTGAAAAAAAAAAAGTGGTATAATCATTTTTTAAAATTCAAATACAAAAGGATATTCACGGATAAGTACATCTCCCTCCTACCCGGGCCCCTAACCCTCCACCCTCTCCCACCCCACCCTGGAAAGCAGCACCCATTCCCCATGTCGAGTCTCCATAGTATCCTTCAGGAAATAGCCAGCCAGCTGCCTTTTCATAAATAAAGTTTTATTAGAACACAACCATGCCCTCTCATTGGTGCGTTATCTGTGGCTGCTTTCCCATTCCAGTGGCAGAGTCGAATACTTGTGACAGGGAAAGAAAAGTTTGCCAACGTGTGCTCTTTTTCTGTAGATACGGTTTGTATCATCTTTTTTTTTTTGACACACATGTGAGTGCACTAAACACAGTTATGCATTTTGCTTATTTCCATTTCACAGTATATCCTGGAAATTGTTCCACATGGGCACATGCAGTTTTGTCTCCAGCTTTTTCACATAGTATGGATGTAATTAATCCATACCTCAGGTGGCAGAGGGGATAAGGGAGGGGGTCTCTTCTTATAAGGGCACTAATCCATTAATGAGGGACCCACCCTCGTGTTCTAATTACCTCCCAAAGCCCCGCCTCCTAATGTCATTACCCTGGGGCTTAGCTTTCAACCTATGAATTTGGGGAGGGACATAAACATTCAGTCTATAGCAGTGGGGTTCACTGGGCTCTTCCCGTCTGACTTCAGATCTATATCTAATAAGGATCTGAAGGCAGAATCAAGATGGATGTTACTTTCAGGCTCAGTGGGCCATTTGCATCTCTGATGACCCCTTGATGACCTCTAACTCTGTAGACCTCTGCCCAAACCAGAGTAATCTCTCCCCAAATACTCTAAGTAGAAATGCAGACGGTGAAAGTTACATAGTACCTATATTTTAGGCGCTTACATTATTTGCCTTTATTTGGTAACCAATGTCTCTCAGAATTTAGGTATAGTTAACACAGCATACCACAAAATACCACCATTCTGTGTGTTCTCACTTCCTGATTTCTGGATCCTCTTGTAAGGGTGAGAACCTTGTTTTATTTACCCCTGGGCCCAGCCTTCTGCCTGGCATGTGGAAGGTACCCAGTGAATGTTGATTGAACTGTACTAGTGGCCTCTTAGTTGTCTTTCTCTTATTCCACCTGAATTGTTCCTTTTCCTTCTTACAGAATGAAGACATTCAAATGCTGTTTTAAATACCCAGCACAGCAGAAAGTTTTCGTCTTATTTTTAACTCTATGGCTGTTCTCCCTGTTGAAGCTTCTAAATGTGAGGAGACTCCTCTTCCCTCAAAGAGGCATTTACTTGGTTGAATACTCCCTGAGTACCTCACCTTTTGTAAGAAACAGATACACCAATGTTAAGAATGAAATCAGGTATGAAGTTAACTGTTCAGGTGTCTATGAACAGGCACCTTTGGAAATTGGCAAGAGTCTGGAAATAAGAAGGAGAGAAATCATCGACTTGGATGATGAGGATGTCGTGGCAATAACCAGTGATTGTGACATTTATCAGAACCTAAGAAGGTACCATCAAAAGCCTGTTTCAAGGGAGGAGAGAAGCTTCCCGATAGCCTATTCTTTGGTTGTTCATAAAGACGCAATTATGGTTGAAAGACTAATCCATGCTATATACAACGAGCACAATATTTACTGCATCCATTATGACTATAAGTCACCTGATACCTTCAAAGTTGCCATGAACAATTTAGCTAAGTGCTTCTCCAATGTTTTCATTGCCTCCAAAATAGAGACAGTACAATATGCCCACATTTCCAGACTCCAAGCTGATTTAAATTGCTTGTCAGACCTCCTCAAGTCTTCGGTTCAGTGGAAATATGTTATCAATCTGTGTGGGCAAGATTTTCCTTTGAAGTCAAACTTCGAATTAGTGTCAGAGCTGAAGAAGCTCAATGGGGCAAATATGTTAGAAACGGTAAAACCCCCTAACAGTAAAATGGAAAGATTCACTTACCACCATGAACTAAGACAGGTGCCTTATGAATATGTGAAGCTACCAATAAGGACAAACATCTCCAAGGAAGCCCCCCCTCATAACATTGAGATATTTGTTGGAAGTGCTTATTTTGTTTTAAGTCGAGCGTTTGTTAAATATATTTTCAACAACTCCCTCGTTAAGGACTTTTTTGCCTGGTCTAAAGATACGTACTCACCTGATGAACATTTTTGGGCTACCTTAATTCGGGTACCAGGAATACCTGGGGAGATTTCTAGGTCAGCCCAGGACGTGTCTGACTTACAGAGTAAGACCCGCCTTGTCAAATGGAATTATCATGAAGGCCTTTTGTATCCCCGTTGTACTGGCTCCCACCTTCGAAGTGTGTGTATCTACGGAGCAGCGGAATTAAGGTGGCTTATAAATGATGGACATTGGTTTGCTAATAAATTTGATTCTAAGGTGGACCCTGTCTTGATTAAATGCCTGGCAGAAAAGCTTGAAGAACAGCAGAGAGAATGGATTACTTTGTCTTCAAAAAAGTTATTCATGGCTAAAAGTCCCATAATCACATCATGATAAAATCATGACAGAAAGAAGCTATCTGATAAATGGAGCTAATATGGAACTGTGTGCTATACTATGCCCACTACCACGTGAGCTTAACCTTCTCATAGTTGGAGAGGTGTCCAAAATTCCACACATAAGGCAAAATGACCTAGGCTTTGATGACAATAAGACTGCACTTGGTCGGGTGATCTTTATGTTTGTTTTTCCTTGTAATCTTATGGAGCTAAATCAGAGATCGAGTCATATGATGCCCTCAAGGCTTACCCTAATCACACTTAATACTTTAAGTTTTCCACATAGCCATCAGGATTCTACCGAAAAGGTGTCGGCGTGTGCGATAATCACATAACTTTTTAAACCACCAGTTTCAGAGTACTGTTTAAGTGTAGTGACCAACTCTCCTCTTGTCTCTTAATTCAGCTCCCTAGACTTTTCTGAACCTTTAGAATATTACCCGGAGAGGGGTACCTGGGTAGCTCAGTTGGTTGAGCGTCTGACTTTGGCTCAGGTCAAGATCTCATGGTTGGTTCATGGGTTCGAACCCCTCTGTCAGTGCAGAGCCTGCTTGGGATTCTCTCTCTCCCTCCCTCTGTCTCCCTGTCTCTCTGCCCCCTGCCCTGCTCATGCTCTCTCTCTCAAAAATAAAAAATTAAAATTAAAAAAAAAAAAGAATATTAGAAGGAGAAACCACTACCTCAGGAAAGCTCAAAGAAAGTCCAGTTTCTTGTTTGCCAAAGCATAATTTACCTATTAGTGCCTCAGTCTTTCAATTCGGAGTCACAAGACTCGGTCACTGGGGCATTTATAGTGTATGAATGTTGGGGAGGTTGGGTGGGGGGGAGGGGATTGGGACAGGTGGTGCCTGAAGAGAAACAAGGGGATTTGCAGGATTTTTGCATCATCGTACACAACAATTTCATGAATGGTCTCCTTTTTTTAGTTCAATTATTTCTTTAAAACACATTTATTGATGAAAAATAAGAACTTGGTTAGTAGTTCAAAATGTCACACTCCTGAACGTTAAACCTAAGTCTTCTAGTTCATAGATTATCATTAAAAGTATGGTTTTTTTTTTACAGTGGAATTGTTATAATTTTGTTTTATGGAACCATTAAGCTAAGAGCCACTGAATTTTCTCAAAAAGATTGTATAAAATATGACAGCTTTCTAAATCAACTATTATGGTCATTTAAAATTCTTGCTTACATCTCCAATAACTATCCAAATAGAATCTAGACTTAAAATGATAAAACCTCTAAGTTCACTGAAGTCTTCTCAGCTTAGATACAGAGAGAGAAAACGTTAATTTTCTTACGGACATAGCAAGAATTTTCACTAATGGTATTTTGTAAAACCTACTCCTTAGAAAACTACCACAACGAATCAAATATACATCTATCTCAATGTAGCTATGTTGTGCTTGAGTTGCAATGGGACAGGAGCAGAGTCCTGAGAACAGGCTGTAATATTTTTACGTCTCTTGGGAAATCATGGAGCTCATGTAAAAATTTCTTCCTGATCTTATGTTTCAATGTCGGCCGCAGAATCTATGTATTTAAATATTTTCTAAAATGTCTGTGTTCTCCATGTGAAATGCACTTTGCTTGTTTTCAAGTATATGATACTGACTGCCAAGCGGGATCACTATTCTCTCTTTCTTCTTCTCTGGAACTCATTTTTCTTCCTCTCCCCCCCCCCCACTCCAAATTACTTCATTCTTCAGAAAACTGTGACCAAGCCCCTGTTCTTAAAAATAAGTCACCCTTGGACAGAGCTAAGTTCTGCAGAAGATACTTAACCATTTATTAGCATGTGTGACTGTGACAAGCTAAGTCACTTTCTATGAGCCTCAGGTTTCCTGATCTTTAAAGTGAACACTTGGATGCTTACCCTGGCTTCCTCACACGTGTGTGTGTGTGTGTGTGTGTGTGTGTGTGTGTGTGTGTGTGTGTGAATCAACTGAAATATGTGAACTGGTTTGAAAATGGAGACAAACTATTGACAATAAATATCAGAGAGTAGTCTTATTACAAGGCAAAACAGAGATCCAACCCCATTGTGAAACTTAACCCTTTACCTTTTCTGGAAAACCTCTGAAATATAAAAGAAGCCACATTTGCAGGAGCAACTTCTGTAAATGAATCCAGGTACAAAGAAACCCCTGTCACCACATCTGGGGTTCTTTTTAAGCCAATATGATTAGCAGATTGATCCCGTGTCTTGGATGGAGGTTAGGGGTAGAAATGTTTTTCCTACCTTCTAGTCTTAAATACACAAGTTCTCACAGACAGCTTGGTTTTTATGGCTTTGGTCATCAGAATAAATGTAAAGTCTGAAAACTCGATCTCCTTGTCCCGTGTCTTGCCTCTTGGTGACAAATGATTCTATCCCCTGTTTATTGGGAAATTTTCCAGTTGTTAATCACTTTCACACCATATCCACATGAAACATGCCACCACAAAGAGATGACAGCACGTTGTTTTCCCCAGTGACACATTTCCCATGATTCAGTTCAACATTTCAGGGGGCTTGTCTGGTCATCTCTTTTGCCTTGGGAATCCTACAGTTTCCTTATAGGCCTTCAAACCTCCTTCAGACCTGACTCTCCCCTAAAACCTTTTGGTATGATTTTTCCTGCTCTAGAGAATGTTCTACAGTCTGTGTTTTATAATCATTCTTTGCATAGTATTTATTGAATCTAGATTCTAAGTTGTTTGGCAATGAGACCAGGACTTGAAGTTTGTAAGTTGTATTAGATATTAGAAAGAGCTACTAAAATATATCTACATTATGTGAATAATCTACTCTAACATTATAATATTTAAAGATCAATGTTGCTGCTATTTTTAATGTTTTGGCTATTCTAAGTAAAAAAAATATATATATATATATATACAT